ATGTTTACAATGCATGATGTGTTGACATGACACATTTATATATTGCAGTATGATTACCACTGTAGCATTAGCTAACACCTCTATCATGTCACATAATTATTTCTTTTTTGTACTAGGAACAATTAAGATCTAGTCTCTCAGCAACTTTGAAGTTTATAATGCAGTCTTGTTGAGTGTGATCACTATGCTGTGCATTAGACCTCCCAAATATATTTCTCTACTAGTTGCAGGTTTGTACCCCTAGACAACATCTCCCCAATTCCCCCAGCCCCAAAGTCCCCGGTAACCACCATTCTACTCTGTTTTTACAAGCTCAGCTTTTTTAGATTCCACATGTAAGTGAGATCATATACTTAGTATTTGTCTTTCTCTGTTCAGCCAGTCAGACTCCTGGCTCATTGGAATGGCCTTAAAACCAAAAAGGCAGGTGCTTGTACATTAAAATAGGCCAAGAATAGCTATGGTCAAGCAAAGGGGGGAATAATCCTGATCTTCCTCTGCTACTTCAGAAGCAAAGTTAAAACTGACTTCAAAGGAAACCAATATTCGGATCAATTCCGAGAAGATGAGAATTCATTCCAGTTCAACCACCGCAGGAAACTGTGGATAATATGAAAGTAAGAGTCAACACAAACCCAGTCTTCAAGAATGTTAGAGAACATTAAAGGGATGATAAGAGGTCAAAACCATTTGTGGCAAAGTACTTTTATTCTTCTAGGATTTTGTTGTGGTTTATTTCCTAAATTGTGTTGTTTCCAGTTAATAGGCGCTTCTTAGACTTAGGAATTAATAAAAGATTATAATCAGTGGTGTAATTAACAATGTGTTTTCATTAATACAGATTTTTCAAAGCTAGCTAATAGTCCTTTAGTGAAGAAATTCTTACTGAGAAAAAAAAACCTAATCCTTTTGTTTGTTTATTAAGTTTACGTTCGTGGGGCAAAAAAGAAAAAGAACTAAATCTTTAGTGAAAAGACTGGAACTGAGCCCATTTTCTGCATTTCACTTATGGGAGAATGCTGTCAACTTAGCATTTTTGCAATTAGGCACTGGTTCTTTGCCACAAGGTAAGATTCATAGAGGGTTTGAGCTCCTCACATATAAATTAATTGGAGTTGTTTTAGGCTGAGTCTACCACAATTTCTCTTCCCATGCCGCACGTTTATACCTGTAAGTTTTTTTTTTACTCAGATGTTACCTGTTGCAAAATTAATTGCATCCCCATAAAAGTCTTCTCAAGTACCCAAATATATCATCCCATCCATCAGCAAACTTTCAGAATCTCCCCAGCTATAAGCGTTCCATGTATTTCTAAAGACATGTTCCTTTGAAGTGTAATGCTTTTGCAAAAACATGTCTCGGCGACCTCAAGCTCTGTGGTGTTCGTCACTGCTCTGAGGGTACCAGACAGGGTGATGGAGGTTACCTGGCATGTGGTGGCCTGAGCAGGCACCTGAGCTTCAGAATCAGACCTGGGTTCAAGTGCCAGCTCCAGTACTCAGCACCCATGTGACCTATGAGATTTTGTAAGCCTTCCAAACCTCAGTTTATCATCTGTAAAGCAGGGATGAGAAAGACCTAATGGGACGACTGCAAGCATTTAAGAAGATAATGCAGGTAAGCCACTTTGTTATCAACACACTGGGTATCAACACATAGTACCCACTCAATAAAATGCACTTGCTATTGTTATAATTGCTTGGTTGTGGTTCAGTAACTCCCTCCCCAGAGGAAAGTGCTCTTTCAGCAACAGTTTAAAAACACACAAACATTTCCCCCGAGAAATGGCTCATCCACATTACTCTGCTACAACACCGCCGAACGTCTTGTTCACCTACAAGCTGATCTTCATTCAATGTCTTTATGACAACACCCAGCCCACAAGCATTTGGAAGTGCTTACTTTGCACCTGGAAAAGCAAATAATGCTACCCTGTCATATAATGACATCCCTGCCTTTCTAGATCTCACAGATCTCATAATTTCATGGAAAAAGATTGAGAGGGAAAAGAAATCAGTGAAAAGGAATTAGGGAAATGGCAGACGAAGGAATCTTTTTAAAAGAGGCCATCTTGAAGGATGACTAGGAGTCTGTCAGGTAGAAAGGACAGAGGCCAGGTGAGAATGAGGCTCAGAGCAAAATATCGGATGAGGCAAGTTATTAATCAGAAGTTGACTAACGATGACAAAATCAGAACAAGAGAAAGAAAATAAATGGTAGGGGGAGCACTCTTGCACCTAAGGTTTGAGGAGAACACTGAGGTCTCTCCAGCTGACCGCAAAAAGCAGCTCTCGGAGACAAGACTGTGTCTGCTACCAGGACTTATGGGTCTCTGCTTGAAAAGCTGTAAGTTTTGCCTCTCTATGAACTCCACTTTCCATACTGGCATGTCCACGACATATTGTTTCTTTTCTTCCAAATGTATATTCTCTATCTGCTAAATGCTTTGCTTATAAATGTAAATAATAAAATCCAGATGACTTCAGCAAAGAAACAGAAAACAAAAAATCATGCTCGTCTAATGACAACTCCTTTCGACATTTCTGCTTTAAGTCTATAGTCTGCCCTTGGAAGGGTCGGGGTGGGGGGGGAGGTATGTCAGTCCCCTGATAAGAGCTGTTAAGTTCTGTGCCCTCATTATGCACCAGTCCCTTTCCCTTGTTGCCTCATGAAATCCTCCCAATAGCCTTAGGAAGAGTGGGACCACTCCTATCCATGTTGTATACAAGCAGAGATGAAACTTGAGAAATACCTGGCCCAAGACCACACACACCCACTTGTGACAAGGCACAGACCTGACCACAGGTCATATGACTCCACTGCCAACATATCGTAATGCCTGGCACAGCGGTTCCCTATACCAGGTCTTGACCTGGGGCCAAATAGTAAGGACAAGTTCATGGTCTGTTGTGGAATGAAAAACCAAAGCCCACTGTATTGACATTTTACATACAGATAGGTTTATTAAAGAACAGTTCTTTAAGAGATTGTGCTTACTTTTTCTTTTTGTATCACACTGTCAGTCCTTTATTTTATGGGATGATGAAATTGAAGACAGTAATTGCTTTCTTTATGATGCCCTACTTATGAAACAAAACCCCCAAAAGTTGGCATCTGCTGTCAGTTTTTAATTTTAAAAATTTGTTTTCATTCCCAGAAATCCAAAATCTAAAATTTATTACTGGGCGAGAAAATATCTTCCTCCCTGGAAGGCACATGTTTATTTTCTGTTGTCCACATGACTAGCCATTGTCATCTTGAACTTGCAATTTTTCATTGCCTGATTTTTAAGTGCTGCCACTTCTCTTCCCCAAACTTGGACCCATCTCTTAAATGCATTTATATTTATAGGAGGAGAGTAAGTGAATAGATAATAGAATAGCTTTCTTTTACTGTGGTTTCCACAACAGTGAAAAATCCAGGCTTTTCTTATCATAACTGGCTGGAAACATTCCACACTGGAGATGTCAAGTCATAACAATGTGGGGGGGAAAAAAGCTCACTTTGCTCTCAGAACGACACAGTTCTTCTATAGAAAAGACATTCTTAAAAGCTGTTTGCAATATCCTACATTAATTTCCTCTGGAAAGGCATCTCATACAAAGGGGTCTTATAAATGGATTAAGTGTGGCTGAGCGCAAAAGTACAGTAAGCCCTCTGTCAGATGCTCTTGAGGGTGGATACCACAAACAGGGGCTTCCTTCATAAGGGTTCCTTGCAAATAGCTGACTTGGAAGTTTTGTGACCAGTAATAACCTCCTTAAAAATAAACCACTTATACCATCTGCTTAACAGTAGTCTCTAAATTATACCAGGAATGTGTGGCTTTTCTGTCCTGGAAAATGTCTTCCACGTTGACAAAAGGATAAACAGAGGGAGGAGGCAGGGGCTGGGCAGCGCTGGATCTTGGAATGCCATCACTGTGCACCAGCATTGTTTGGTCCCTGCCTACTACGCTCAGCATCTTCTGCAGCAAGAGTAAGTTTCCGATGGGGAAGAGCAAGGACCCACCTCAGCATTTCTGAGACCAAACAAATCAAAGTTGGACAAGGATAGGTGAGGACAAGCAGGCAGAGGAGCTAGAACGAGCCCTCAGAGCTGGGCAGGGGGTGGGGGGAGGAGGGGGAAAGAGGGTGTTGGTTGTAGCCCAGGCTTTGATTGCTGAGCCAACTGAGACATGAATGCAAGAGTGGAAGAGAGATTAGGATACCGTTTTTAGTATCTGACAAGAATGTATTAGAAATAACTACTTGGACCAGAGACCAATATGGTTTTTATATCTTTCCTCAAAATGTGGATTCAGGTAAATCCACAAGGGGAAAGTGAGCTTTGCAGAGAATTCATTATCTAATCTAACTTACGTCCCCTTGGACGTAGCATGACTCGGATTCCACTGAGAATTCAGGAGAAAATGGCCCCCTGTGAGCCATTTCACCCACTCACTCACCCCACTGAGCCATGTGGGGCTCTCATCATCTCACATTTCCCTTCTCCGTGGGGAGAGCCCAGGAGAGAGCAAGGGGAGATGGTCATTTCTCCCCAGTGCCCCTCAGAAGGAAAGTTCGCTGGGAAGGGTGAGGAAGGCATGTAAGGAGAGGAACAAGTGAGAAACTGCAGCATGTTGAGCCCAGAGGATCTCCCCAACCAGATCACAGTTTCTGTAAAGCAACAACTTCAAAATTCCTCCAAACTCAAAAAAGCTGGCTGAGGCCACCTCTCATATGGTAAGAGAAACAATTTTGTCCGACACTTACTCCAAAGTGCTGTGCCTTGAATCACAGAATTATAGAGTTTTACTTGGCTTTTCTTTAGTTAAGTAACACAAGCAGGCGCCAAGCTAATATATAAAACTTAATTGAGCCTTTCTCTTAAACAATTTTTTACTCTTCAAAATGCAGCCAAACATGACAACAAGAGTGGGATGAAACAATTCTCAGAAAGAAAGCACTGTGTTCAGGAAATGAGAAAATTAAAATGAAAAGAAAAATACTTGCACTTACACCAAATAAACCGTATTTTAGTGGGTGTCATCCAAGCCAAGAGTTTTCTCAAGCAAAGTGCAGACAAGCTCATTTGAAATTAGAAGTCTTCATGCTTCACCCAATCAGCAATCTCTGAGGTCAGTCTCCATTATGTCCTGAAGTACCAGGAGAAGGACGTTCCATTGCTGGTTCCAGATGGATGCATTCTCTCTGTGATGCAAGTTTTCAGAGGAGTGCATTACACCCATGTGTGTACATGTGTACGCGGGCACATGCGTGGTGGAAGGCACCAAGCAGTAGTGTTCAGGAGCGCCCAGGTTGCATTTCTGCTCCCAAAGGGTGGAATGAACAGAATGTCATCACACTGTGGACAAGCTTCTGGTCCTGTGAGCAGGTGGGCTGCTGGCCTGCCTTCAAAACTCTCTCTTTCCTCTCAGGCACGGTCAGCCCTCGTGCAGATAAGAAAGGGGAAAGAAACCAGAGGTACCCTGAGCCAGGCAAGAGGTCGATGGTGCATACAAGAAGGAAGACTGAACTCCAGCTACTCCCAAATCCCACCTGATTTGTGGTTCTTCCTTTTCGAAGATTAGTCAAGGCAAAGTTGGGAGCTGACGATGAGAACTTATGAATGTCAGGATGTTGAGACAAAGGTATCTCATGGGACAAAAGAAGAGATGCGAGGCAGAGTCATTTGGATACTTGTCTTGGCTGAATCCAAACTCAGACTCTACATTGTTGCACTTGGGTCTTCAAATGGTGGCCTCTCGTTGACATTTTGGCACTTCTGGGATTTCTCTATCATATTGCACATATTTATTTGGGTAGCTGGGCCTCAATCTTCTTCAGATGGTTTTTAAAACATCTCTTATTTCATCAAGCTGGAGAACAACAACTGCAGTCCAGAAGCCTACTTGAGTTTCCCTCAAACTTAGCATATGTTTTCCCCTTCTTCCTTTCATTCTAGGCTCCCCTAACCCTCACCTTTTTTGTTCCTTTCCTGTAACTTATTCAACATATGCTGCCTGGGACTGACAGTGAATACATCCCTTTTAAACCTAGAAATTAACTACTCTTGAAAATTTCTCAAGGCAACATTCCTCGGAGTCCAACAATCATATAATAAACTATTATGAGCAAAGCATCCTATTATGTGCTTTGGAGACAAAGCAAAAGCATGCCAGTCCTATATATTTAGTTATCTACTGCTGCATAACAAATGACTCCAAAACTTAGCAACTTAAATGATAGACGTTTATGATCTTATAGTTTCTGTGGCTCAGGAATGGAGAAGCAGCTTCAGTTGGTGGGTCTAGCTCAGGGTCACTCAAAAGGCTGCAAATCAAAGTGTGGGCAGGGTCTGCGGTCACTTCAAGGTTCAACTCAGGGGAGGACCCGCTTAATATGCTCACTCACACGTGCCTTTCCTCAAGGCCACCTCCATGCTTCTCCATGTGGCCTCTCATCCTCCAGGGCCTTCCTAGCAGGATAACCTGGGCTTGTTTACATGGTGGCTGGGCTGGTGGGTGGGGAGTGGGGTGGGGGGAGAGGGAGAAGGGGGAAAGAGGGAGACAGAAGGAGAAGAAGCAGGAAGAAGAAAGGGAGGGAGGGAGGGAGGACAAGCAAGAGATCATGACAAGATGGATGTCAGTCTTTTTATAACCTTATCTTGAACTGACATCCCATCACTTCTGCCACAGAAATAGATCAACCCACATTCAAAAGGAGGGGAATACAAAAAATAAATAAATTAATTAATTAATTAAAATTTTTAAAAAAGGAGAGGAATTCACAAGTCATGACTACCAACAGATGGGGATCTTTGGGGGCCATTTTAGAGGCAGCCTACCACACCCTGCCAGGCTCCACATCTTGGACAAAGATTGACACATACCGATACAGCATTGGAAGGAAGTTCTAGTAAGTTCTTTGACAATGGTAGAAGGGAAATGCTCCAAGATGGTAGGAAAAGGAGAACTTAATTTCATTTGTGAGATGCTGGCAAGGCTTCTTGAAGAAAGCAAAATCTGAGCAAAGTCTCAAGTAGACCTCAAAAAAGGCATTCCAGGCAGCCAGGAGAGCTTGAGCAAGCGGTCTGGGATTTGAACAAGCACCAAAATCACCTGGAGGGCTTGTTTAAATGCAGATGGCTGGGCCCCACTTCCAGAATTTCTATTCAGTAAGTGGTTGGGGCAGGGGCAGGCCATGTTGATGTCCTCGGTCCAGGGACCACACTTTGAGAAATGTTGAGCAAAGGATCAGAAATAGAGCATATTTGGAAAGTGACAAATAGACGTTTTTATTTGTCAATTTGGACTGATTCAATTAGTTTCAAGATCCTCTTAGAATCAGTGGAAATGAAAGGCATTAGTCTGTACTTACTGAATGCCAAAACTATCCACTTTTAATGCTGGGAGGGATTCAGAGAATCTAAAACCATCATTTTTCCAATGAGGAAAGTGAGGGTAGGGGGTGAGATAGTGAGAGTCTTCTTTAAAATCAGATGGATTTTTGTGGTTCCCTCACTCAAGGGCTCCTGAAAGTACTATACTGGAGTCCTTTTCCTTTCAAGTCTGAGTGCTTTCTATTTGAAATGGGCTAAGGAGTTTGTGATCGACTCCCCAATAGGATACTCACCCTCCATAAAATGCATAAGCCCATACTGTGGTATGGAAGGGAGGCTGAAAGACCTCTCACAACACCTTGGGGTCCATTACACAAGGCTCCTGTGCAGAAGGCTGTGTGTAACTCCTTCCTGGCTTCCATGTCATGAGAAGCCTTCCCCACACCTCTGCGGTCCGTTAGCCTCCCTCACCCTTTCTTTCACAAAGCCTCAGGTGTACAAAGTTGGGTGCCTAAACTTCTCTGCAACACTTGGATTTGGGTTGCTGTTTCTTTTCAAAGTCTAAATAATTAGTAAGATCTAAGTGCAAACCGGAATGCATCCATCTTGGCTCCTGAAATATGCTTTCTTTGGAAACAGGGGAGTGAAACCCTGTAGTTTATTCCTTGCAATGTGTGCACAAAATTAGCTTGGTGCCTTTGTTCTGTTGTCTGAGCTTTTGACACCTTTTATTTGACTGTACTTAGGGAAACAATATGAAGACATTTAAAGAAGCCCAAGGGAATGTCATTTGCACATTCAAACGCAGGCATTTGTATAATTCTCCTCTCCCTGACTTCCTCACTGTCGCTCTTCCTCCAGTCCCCTCCATCCCACTCTGACACAGATTCTTGCTCCAAAAGAAACAAAAACTCGAAAGGCAACTGAACTGTAACTCCCTTTCCACTTGTGGTTTCTGCATCAACTTGCAGGAGCACAGGTGTCTCTTCGATTGTGACATTCTGAGAAGTCCTCGAGCTCACCACCCACACTTCCTCCCGAGGGCAGGACCGGTCCCGAGCTTCAACCTTGAATAAGAAGATAACCTACAGACAGGCCGAGGTGAGCCAAAACCTCACTCCAGCTTCTCTCATGCCCAAACCTGGTTTCTGAGCATACATTTGCTCACCGGTATAAAAGGATGCCACATAGCTAACGTCTCCTTGAAAAGCGGAGAGGTGAGAATGGCAAACTGTAAATCCATTTTATTCACTGCCTTTACCAATTCAACCACAAATTGTTTCCTCTTCTCCCACTGAGCACCATTTAATGAGCTGTATCAGGCGTAAAATGGAAGCAGTGAACCACAGATGGGAAGAGAACACATCATGTGAGCAAGCGCACGGGTCAGACCCTGCTTTCCCCACTTCCCAGCTCTTTGGCTGAGTTACTTAACCTCTCCCGGCCTCGGGTTCCTCATTTGGGCCTTGGCTTCCCTCGCCTAAAATGGAGGGAGTAAACTGGAGCTGTTGTGAAGATCACAAACTCCATGTGAATACAGCAGGTATTCAATAAATGGTAGTCGTGACAGACCAGGCATTTAATAAACACATGACGTTTGTCCCAAAGAAGCTCATGATCTTTGTAGACATTGTTCGCAGATGGATTCTGTTCTTCATTGGCTCAGGACCACTATTGTGTTATCATACTCTTAATTCCGGCTGAACAAGAGAAGTCCAAAATTACCTGAACATGAGTCCAGGGTCGGCCTCTGCCTGCAAACCTCTGCGCTGAAATGCCTCGTATGCTTTTTCCAACCAAGAGCGTGTCAGGAACAACGTTGTTTTCTAAGCCGTTAGTAGGGAACCGTCAGAGAGGAATCATTCCCTGTATCTTCTGGGGGTTGGTAGGAAAAAAAAAAAGACTTAAGAAATGTTGGAGGTTGAAGCATCAGCCACTGACCTATATTCATCGGAAACAAAGATGACTTTTCAGAAGACGAATCTGTGGTGCACAGAGTCGTAGAAAGAAAGACACTTGGGCTGCGGAATCCCCCCACCTTCTCAGGGGAGGCTCCTGCCTCCGCCTGCCATTCATCAGCCTTGATTTTGATGGGACGATTTTTAGTCAGCTGCCTCGATCATTTTGGCACAGACAAAAATCCTTTAAAAAATGTTACACTTCATCAAAGTGTATCATGAGACTTCACAGTCATTATGTGAATGGCCCCTCTGATGTGCTACACTTGGCAGAGACACAAACGGTAGGGGGTGTACGAGAAGAAAGCCAGCATTTCTTGTGGAAAGCCGGCAAGCCTCGCCAAGCTTCTGTCAACAACTCCGCGCTCTGATCCGATGCACTGAGCGTGCTGATGATGCTCTTGTTTCTGGAGGAAGTAAACAAGAAAATGAATTCCACCGCGCAACACAGCCTCTTTGTATCTTCAAAATGGTGTGACTGGACCCGAGCCAGCCGCGCTGAAAGTTTGGCCATTTATGTCATCAGGGACCCAGTACTGATGGAGGCTTGGATTATGACTTGGACCCAGCTAGAAGACCCTTCAGGGGCAGCCACGCAGCAAATAAAGGCATTGATTGGTTGTTGGGTCAATTTAGCCGTAAGGGTCCAGAGCACGGCTCTTTTGAAAAGCCTAATGGATTAGCTACACAACCAGTCCCACTGTAGGCCTTATTTTTCAAGTAACTTCAGGACGGTTTTCCAGCTTGGCAGGGAGCTAACTCTTCCTCCAGAGCAAGCTTCAGAGCGGTGCTTGTTATCAATAGTGGCGCTCAAAGGATTAGACACAGCGGGCTTTACAATTTAATGAAAACAGCTGTTGAAACAACAATTAAGGCAAACAATAGTTTGCATGGAAAACTATTAATTATGTAAAGTTATGCAGAAAGTGGAATACCCTTCTATTCAGGGCCTTCTAAAGCGACTGAGCCGCCTTCCATGCCAAGGCTTCAAGTGTCAGGAAGTGGGGTGCTTGTAGGAAGCGGCTCCGTCGCTGGTGGGTTGAATGTGAGTAGGGCTCCAGGCTCCCAGCTTGCTGCAATTCGAGTCACGGGTAAAATATTCGGGAAAAGAAGATGAGTTAAACTTACATTACCTTGGGTGCCTCAGATTTTTCAGACTAACTCAGAGCTGTCTTTTCACAAGTCTCTGAAATCCAGTTTAAGCCTTGTGGTTGGGATCGATCTCTGATTTTGCTTTAAACACACACACACACACACACACACACACACTAATCCCCCAAAACCATTTCTTTTTTTTTTTTTTAAGATTTTATTTATTTATTTGACAGAGAGAGAGCACAAGTAGGTAGAGAGGCAGGCAGAGGGACAGGGAGAAGCAGGCTCTCTGCTGAGCAGGGAGCCCGACGTGGGACTCGATTCCAGGACCCTGGGATCATGACCTGAGCCGAAGGCAGCTGCTTAACCGACTGAGCCACCCAGGCGCCCCAAAACCATTTCTATAATCTGCCCCCCTTTCGGTCTTCACTCATCCTGAGAAATTATTAATGGCAATGTTCCTTCCTGAGTCATTAGTAAGGAACTGTCAGAAAGGAATCCTTCTTGGCGGAAGGGATCCCTTGTTCTTTGGCCTAATAAGTAGGTTTTCCCTGCATCAGGATGGTCCAGTTTGGACTCAACCATTCCTCTCCCACCCCCGCCCCTCACACCTCTCATCTCTCCTTCCTCGCTCTCTGCTTGCTGGGGCTTTTAAATCCATTGCTTCTCTCCTTGCAATTTCCATCCTTGACTAACAGTGCTGGGAATTGACTTATGGCCCTTCGCCTACCCTGTGTTCCACATCTCACTTTCCTCCCCATATGGGAATCACCAAGCCAAGCAGTCCCATTAAGAAGGTTATTAACTGTATACATAAACATTGCCTCCTGCCTACAGTTAGATTTATTTCTCGTCATTTCCAAGGAACTGGTTTTAACACTCTTTCCAGCGCACGCAACACCTTTTATTTGACTATATTGTTTTAGAAAGGCCTTTGGGAATTTAGCTAATTTCATGCTGGAACTTATTAAGTGGGATTTGACACTCTTTGATAATTCCAATAAACCATTAGTCAAGTCTCACTCCCTTCAGGGAAGAAATGAAAGCTTTATTAGTCATAGGGTCTCTATTCTAAACATGTCACTGGAATTTAGTAGCGCATCTGTGTTGAAATGCAATTGACTTTGTGAATAAATAGAACTTCCCCTGAAACTACAAGAAAGCTGTCATTGGCTATCACCAGTAAGAAAGCATGTGCCTTTTTCAGAAAACTCTCTTTAGATTCATCTGTGCATTTTGAAATAATTCAATGAACTTAACTGACTGACCTGTGAATATTAAGGAAATGAACAGCCCGCATGGGCACATGCACGCATGCACACACGTTTGCAAATTCTCTCGAAAGTACTTGGTTTAGTCATTTCTTTCACTCAGGAAACAAGAATACGAATAATCTCCTTCCCCTCTGTGGACAGTTTAAAAATCTTGAGAGATCATGTCTCTAGAAGGCCCCAGAACATAATTGAGTGTGCAAATGAAATTCATTACCAGGGTCACAAACAATAATCCAATTAACGTGTATGTGTGTGATGCCTTTAAAGTCATTCTAAACTCAAAACCACATTCATCTTTGAAGGATCACACAAAGTACCACGTCCCAGCATACTCCAGTTCACGCTTTGCACCGGAGAGTACAAAACAGCATCGAGATTGCAAAAGCAATTATTCCAGTTATCCAGATGTGGTTTTTCAATCATTCTAAGAATTTTTTTTATTTTTTTTATTTTTTTAGCAGTTCATATTCCGTGGCACCACTCACAGTTCTCATGCTGGCACAGTACTTACATCTCTTCATTATTAATTCAGCTCATGGAGCTTAATTGGACAAGGCTAGAGCGAATTTGACAAACATCACAGCAGCAGAAAAAGCAATCACTCTTTCAAGATGAAAATTTGTTTGATGTCTTACTGTGTAACTCATTTACTCTCCTCGGGAGTCATGTGACCTGAATGTTAATCAGCCATTGATTGGTTTCTCTCCTTGGACAGTCACGTGACTCGAATATTAATGGACTGGCACTCGGTAGCTATATTGTTAGGCAACCTTGTGATTGGCTGCCAGGTTAAGATACGGAGATAAGTGGGTGCTTGATGAGCACTTGACAGAACTTCACAGAAAATTAAGGCCCTAAAATAGCATGAGAAAGTCTTGTCAAATCAAGCATGATTATCATTGAATGCTTAAGGAATTCATCATCTGCATGAAATTGATACACTTCAGCACCAGCAGGCCCTGGAGTCAGCAGGGACTCATCAGATTTTTATTTATATGTGTTCACCAAATCACATTAATTCTGAGAGCTAAAACATGCTAAGGATGAAGGTTATTTTCTGTTCAATCTAATTTATCTGTGACAATAATCATCACTAATAATGTGTCAAATTGGATTGCAGTCATTTTATGCATGCATGCTGATTTGGAAAATAGTGTTAAACCATCCCGTGGTAATTAACAACCGGTAAAGGTATGCTGGGGCCTGAAGTAATCAGCATATCTAGACGGAAAATTAAGTTTTATAGAATGGATTTATAGATACATATCCTTATTTAATTCGGAATATAAATTATTCCTGGTAAAAGCCGACATCATTTTTATAACACCATTAAAGCCAATAACCATTGAGGGACTCGCATCCTTAATTTGCTCCATCCTTCATTTTTTCTCTCATTTTCTGTGGTTAACTTTCTAATGGGTGTCACTTCCTTCTTGACGAGTCCTCATTTTAGTGGGGTTTGGTAGGGCTAAGAGATGAATGAATATGCACTGGTTTAAGTGTTAATCACGGATGAAGGACGTGCATCATACCTCTTAATACACAATGCTTTCTAATTATTGGCGGGGGCGGGGAGGGGAGAGGGTTTGGGAGGTAGGCAGCAAGAAGAATACAAAGAGGGGGGTGGGGCCAGACTTTGGCCTTTGGGTGTTTCTCTATTCTTTCTCCTCACAAAGGGACAATAGGAAAATTTGCAGATTAACTCATAAGGGATTAATGTTTCTTGGGGAATCATTTAAGCCTAAATTGCTTTTATTGAAATACTTTTTATGGAACAGAAGTTGGTTTTGGTTTGGTAGTTTTTTTTTTTTTTTTTTTTAAATAAACTCCTGCTTTATAGGGCATTATTTGAGTAATGGGAGTATTGGAGTAATGAGATCTTACAGAAATGTTTACATCCTTTGGTGAGTGTGGCAAAATGTTTCAGAGGAGAATTACATCTCGAAAAAGGGGGAACATAAATACGTGTAAATGTTGTTCCTTTCCCACCACTCCCCCCTCCACCCCCATCTTAATCTCCGGAGCGACCAGGACGGGCCGCTCTTCTCTGCCCCTCTCTCAGGAGGTCTCTTTATTGATTAAATGAATCTGCTCCAAAGACTGGCTCCCAGGCTCTTTGATCTAATCCGATCTGATTTTATCCTATCGCTTCAGCAGGACATCGGGGAATTAACAATAAGCAGCTTTACCACAAGTGTTTAATAACTCAACACAATCTCCTTATGGCTCCGAGCTGCTCATGTTCCCATCCAGTCCACGGCAAACAGTGTAACAGATTGGCCAACCCCCTCCCCCGAACCTGAGGAATTTTCATGCACTGTGAAACTAATCGCTTCAAGTTCCTTCATAAATCACACAAAGCAGATTTTAGCATCTTAACAAATTGAAACACACACACACACACACACAACCAGGCAGAGTGGAGTAGGGGGTGGGGTGGCAGAGAACTCACCTCCGGCTATGGGGGGCACTCCAGGAGAGTGGAGCTCCCAGATCCCAGAGAGGGTAAGGGGCCGATGTAAAATCACTTCTGTCTTCTCATGCAATACGTTTCTCATCTCCTTCCATTTTAACATGAATGAAATAATCTGGGCAGGCTCAAACCTCACAATGCTCCGAGCTCACAATGACCTTATTTTTTTCTCCCCACTGTGATGGACACGAGGTGGTTTCAACAACAGGCCTCTCGTTGTTGTTCCTGTGACAAGCCCTTGAAGTATGCGAGGAGCACACAATTAAGCAGGCATTGTGCATCCTGTGTGGCGCAGAAAGCCGAGATGTGAGGCTGACACGGTAGGGCCCTTGGACTTCAAACCTGCGTACGTGCATAAAAGGACCTCTGAAATAAGCATTCTTGAAATGCCCTTTTTTTTTTTAACCTGGAGCTGCCCCTCTCTATACATCCCTAGCTCTAAATTGCAAAGGCAGAATTCACTTACTATCTTCCTTACCACCCCCACCGCACACACACACACAAAGTGCATGAGACCCCTCTTTTCTAAATACCATGAGCACAGTTAGTAAAGGTGATTCTCTCCTTTTCTGAGACAGAAATGTGGAGGCAGTGGCTCGCCCTTATGCCAGAACACACAGAGCAGGGAGCCTGGGAGAAATGGGGCAGGGGAAGCTGCTGGATTATTAGTGCCATGGGGAGAATATCGCTCCAGCACTAATCTCAAATAAAACATCATTTAGTTGCTCTATTTAATACCTACTGTACATCAGAATTACCTATAAAAACAGGTTTTGTCACAAAGAAAACAGCCCCATCCCCCCCACCCCCGTCACTCTCTCTCCATTACCCTGGCAGGGCTGTGATTTCTCGCTACATCTGCAGAGTAACCAAGTGCCCTCTAACTGAACATCTGGGAGCAGAGGGAATTTTATGACTTAGGTTTAGGCCAGATTATTATTACTATGGTGAGATCTTTTTCCATATCCCCAGGGCCCAGGGTACTTAAAAATTCACTCAGATACAGCTGGATGTTTCATTATTGCTTTCCTAAGTAAAAACATTTATTTTTATATCCTTATATCCCACTCCACCCACATCCATTCATCAGGATTTATCCAGATTTTCCCACACTCTATGAGTCCAGCATTTTGAGACACCTCCTTCTCCCCAAACCACCCCCCGCGCCGCGAACCGCCACAAAAAAGTCTACTCTGATTTTGTGATCCACTCAATATGGAATGGCATGCTAACATGAATAGTGTTATTATTTCCTCTTTGGAAATGCCTTTTGCCTTACTTTTTTTTTTTCCCCCAGATAAACTATGTCATAACAGAAGAATCCCTGTGAAGTTCTCCAAAGAACTCTATGCTGCTTCCAGACCCTGGAACTATAATTATGCCTTGCGAAATTAAAACAGAAAGAGCGTCCCCTGCCAACTGTGAGTGCCCCTGTTTATATCACAAAGAGATAGCAAAATGTACTCAGGAAGGTTCCAGCCAAAGTAATTGAGAGGACTGCCTGAACTGAGCTCTGCTTTCTAAACATTGTCGCTGGGTCAGAACTGAGAGCCCGGGAAAGGAAAATAGAGGAGGAGAACCCGAGCCAGAGGCCTGTTACTTTTCCCGCCTGGGCATAATGTCATGGAGTTCAGTGACTCTGGGGGCTGGTGTTGACTGAAGTCTTGTTGCACATTTAGGTCCAGGTGCTTCTACTGGGGAGCTTCAGACCTGTCACTCCACCGTGCGGTGGCCTTCAGATGTTCTGAACCCCTGCACTCACACACAAAAGTCCAGAGCATTAGGCCAGGGTGTAAACACATTCCCGACATCAAGTAGTACAAAGAGGATTCTTCTGCTTGCGGTTCAGTCACTTCGCAAGCTTGTCTTTCTTTGGAGCCTTCTTTGTAGGCTGTGGAACTGGAACATAACACAGAGAGACAGACAGAGAAAGACGGGAGACAGAGAGGTGTAGTGAGAGAGAGAGAGAGAGAGAAAGAAAAGAAAGGGCACTGAGGAAAAAGGGGGGGGAGAGCCAAACCGAAGCCACAAGTGGAAAAAAAAAAATCCCTATAAAATAAAAGTGCATTATGTTTTTGTATATTTTCGAAATGTAGCCAAACTAAACCATTAAATGAGGATTTTGTTTCACAAAGTCTGCAAACTATTCAACCGCTAACCCACTACCAAGAATGTGGTGCCAACCAAAATATGTCAAGATTAGTAGTACTCAATAAAATCTCAAAACCAAATGACATGCAAGCTGTATTTCATGATTAGAGCGTTTCCTTATGTCAAGGAACATACATATTAACTTGTTTAAACACAGCGATGGGCTGTCACTCTGTCAAAAGCAGAGGAAGGAGAATCTAGTGCTTACCAAGCCCATCCAGATGATACTTCATGCTTTCTATCTCCCTGGCAGACAGCATGGACACCATCCAATTAATCTTTACATCGTCTGAGAGAAGAGGAGCTGAGGGAGGGACAGAGGGAGGAAGGGAAGGAGGACGACAGAGAGACACCACTTCCCACTACACAGAGCAGGGTAGGGAGAGCAGCGTTGGTAACTGCCTTGCCCAAGGTCCTCACCCAAGTACAGAGCTGGGGTTGGAATCGAAACGCTTCCTTTTCTCTACCCAGTCACCAAAACTGCCAAATGCGAACACCCTGAATCTTTCTCTTTTTAATCTCAGGAACTGACATTTGCATAATGCGTTAATGACGACAAAGGGCTTTACGTTTTCTCGGGAATCCTCACCCCGGTCCCTAGTCAGGTATGTCTCGTTCTCCCCTTTTTACGAAAGAGAAGCCCAAGTCTCAAAGAGAGGAACTGATGTGTGCCCACGCGGCTACAGGCATGGCAGGGAGAGCCAGGGCAGGACACCCGTCTCCAGGCTCCAAACCCAACGGGACCCACACGACATGATGCCGCTCTCCCGGCACGGCACCTCTTTTTTTTTTTTTTTGCACCGAAGCGCTTGAGTTTGAGCTGGATTCTAAAAATGGAGAGGGGTAATCATCTCATTCTCTGACTGTCAACAGCACGACGCGGCTGTGTGCTTCTACCTGGCAGGAGCCCGAAAGGGAGGCTGCTCTCTCATTTACAAACTACAGTAGTAAGATACGTGATTATGTGAGGAACACTTGAGGGGCCTTTGAGGTGAAACGGAAAAAGCAGAGTCCACTCCATCTGTTACTCAGGTGCTGTTTCACGTGCGCCAGCCTGACAAGCCTGATGCGGCCACAGCACCTGCCCTCCCCCAACACCCACACACATCCTTGTTCTCAGGGGCCTTCTTCATGCTGGGGAATCACTACCTCCCTTCAACTACCACCTAAGCCCTGGGGAGTGATGGAACAGAACTGGAATTCAAGCCAGAGTCTCCTCTGACACATTACGGTGTGGATCCTTCTGGTCCGCACCTCACCCCGCAGAGCCTACATGCTCCATTCCCAGGCCCCCCACACCCAGTCCCCGACGCCCTCCTCAGCCTGATGAGAAGCCGGCCTTTCAAGATCCGGGCATCACAACGTCGTCCCGAGACTCAGCCACATGCACCTGACTCCAGCCAGACTTCACAGATGCCTTCCGTGAGGGCCTGCAATGTGTCCCTCACCCAAATTCAAATGTGCAAGCCTTAACCCCCCTGTACCTGAGAATGTGACTATATTTAGAGAGATGGCCTTTGAAGAGGTAATTTAGGCGAAATGAGGTCACATGGGTGGGAACTTAGCCAACGCGACGAGTGTCTTTATAAGAAGAGGAGATTAGGATATAGAGAGAAGGCCAAGTGAGGACATAGTGAGAAGGAACTATCTGCAAGCTAAGGAAAGAAAGAAAGAAACCGGAAGAAACCAAACCTGCCAATACCTTGATCTTGACTCTCAGCTTCCAGAACTGTGAGAAAGTTAGTTTCGACCCACCCCCCTCTGTGGTATTCTGTTATGGCAGCTCTACTAATAAAACTTCTTATTCCCGATCCGTGCCATGGTCTTTCACACACAGCCATGGTTTCACGCGTGCTGCCCCCTCTGCCTAGAACACCTGTCCCTTGACTGTTGGCCAAGTGGACACTTCTTCCTCTCCAGTGTTCAACTCAAATGCCAGGTCTCCTCCTCAGGAGGCCTTCCCAGCTAACCACAGACACCAAACTGTTGGTCTGTGATAACCTGGAGGCTGCGACACACCTCTATCATGTGGCCGTCTCCTACACTTATCCGATGGCCCATCCCTCACAGAGAGTGAATCTTCTGGAAAAGGGAGCCCCTCCTCCCTCATTTCCCCAGCCTGCCACAATGCCCATCACAGAGATTACATTCACTTCATGTGTGATGAGGGGACAAAGCAGGGACTGGAAGGAAGGAAACAGCCACAGTAGAAGCAAGAACTAAACCTCACTTTTTGCTGTGTGCCAGACACTGGGCTAAGTGCTGCTCTGGTACGAACCAACTTTGGCCTCCAAGTAACTGTAGGACGTAACTAATACTGTGGTCCTCATTGTCCTGCCGAGGACGGAGGCATTCCAAGATAAGTAACTTGCCCAAGGTCGTGCAGAGCCAGGGATCTAAAACCACGCATCGGCTTCAGAATCTACCTTTTTAAGAAAATGTCTTCCGAGGACAAAGAAAAGGAGGAAAGGGAAGGTGGGAAGGGAGCAAAAGAAGATACTTCACGCGGCAAGATCCTTAAATTCCTGGAAACTCAGTTTGCTCATCTGCTTCTCTCAAGAGAGGCTCAAGTGAGAGAATCTAGAACTACCAAACACACAGCCTCTATTTTCAGGAGGCCTGCCCCTTGAAGACAGGATTTCAGGGGGAGACATCTTGCAGAGTGGATAATCCCAAGAAGAGACATTTCAAAGAAAGAAAAGAATTTCAAGATGAGAGCTGGAAAGTAATGTTTGTCTCTTCCCAGCCAGCAGTATCCTGGGGGCACCTCCCCTCTCCCGCTTTTCCTGCCCCCCCCTTGGGGATTTGTGCCTTCCCACTGCCCCACCAGGAGGGTCGTCCTAGCGGGGTGTTGCCCCTGGTTCCAAAACCACATATACCACCCTTGAGAGTGCTACAAATCGAGGTTATATTAAAATTTCAGTTTATTAATCTGGTTTACTGGACTTAACACGTAGAGCTGGGCGGAAGGGTCTCCTGCTCCTTTCCAAACTGGACTTCTCTGGGTTCTGTTTGTTTTAAATACGGTCTTCAATGCCAGGCCTTAGTATCTCTTTTTTGTTTGATTCATAAATGCCTTGAGCATCACACAATGACTTAATGAGGCCTGAGAAAGAGACACGTCTAGTTGTTCTACACCTGCAGACTGCGCTCTTCTTTGAAGGTTTTTCAGATGACCTACTTACCTAGGC